TCTATCTATCTATCTATCTAGTTGTTGATAAGTGCTGTTGAGTCACTTCTGACCCATAGCACCCTATATAGAGTTTCTGAGGAGCAGCTGGTGGCTTTGAATTACTAACCTTCTAGTTTGCAGTCCAGTGCTTATCCTACAGCACCACACCAGGAGTCCATATGTAGGTATTATGCATTTACAAATGTATATACTAATGCACATATAATTGCCTTGCACCAAAGAATGCTTAAGATTATTTTGTAAAACTTACAAAGGAAATAATAAAACTTGTATTCATGTAAATACAAATTCTATACAGCACAGATCAAAACTGTAGTCATTTGAGATTTTAGGGACACGTTTAGATTTCTTCTTCTATATAATAAATATTCATTTAAAATTAAATTGGAAGAATCCGCTCTAGTGTTTATCCATCCATTATTTCTTTGCAACAATATAATCATTTTAACTGAATTTTGTTGCTTATATTCAACCTTTGGTAATGTTAATTACATGTTCTTTTCCTTGGGTAATTATGGCCTTATACAGTATAAACCACTAACAGTATATTGTGCTTTTAAAACCATTATCAAGATGGAATTAAGCAAATTTTAGTTAGTGCCACAAGGCCTCTCCTGGACAAATTTCCTTCCCATTTCCTTCGTGACATTTTCATAGATGCTACTTGTGTTCAGTTAACCCTTTGTTGACATCACATCTTAGCTGACTCTGTAGTCAACCTTGCAGTTCTGGCTGTCAGAAATTTAGAGACAAGAACTTTACAACTCTTTCTCTTTATCCCCAAATGTGTGTTCCCTTGCCTGCTCATAGGAGACTTAGGAGCTTGCGCCAGTAGGCATACTTGGGGAAGGGGGTAACCCTGCTTAGGAGAGGGCTCCTAAGGAAAGATGACCCCAGATATTCACTCTTGTCTAGAAGAGGAAAAGCAAGAGAAGGCAAAGCAGAGAGCAGGACACAGAAAAGTGTCTGGCAGTTTCTCATGGAAATGTACCCCATGATTAGATGGGGTAGGGTTTGAAGTAGGAAAGAGAAAGTTATGTGTATTTTACTTCATTTAATATGAAAATTAGTTTCTATTCCTTTGAGAAGAAATGGAATGAATAGCAATAGGCAGCAAAAACCATGAGTGTGTTCGTGGGAATTCCAAGTGTGGAACTGAAGGGAAACATTTGGCTTAACAAAAAAGTAACTGAAATGAATGAAAACTTTTCCAAATTTTACTTCTGCAGGGAGTAAGTATTAAGCAAACCTTAGCTCAAATAGTCACTTTTAGGGAAAGTGGGGAAAAGTGAAGCAGACATTTCAGGCTCTGAATGCGCTCAGATCCATCTCAAACAGAAGCTAGACGTTTTAAAGAGCAAGTTGTGGTCATTGGTTATTCTAAAAAATAATGATTACGTAACTAATAGTTTTATGTTATGTTGTAGGTATGTTTTGCTGTTGTTGTTAAGTGCCGTTGTTAAGTAGGTTCCGACTCATAGTGACCCCGTAATTTCCAAGGAGCCGCTGCTGGGCTTGAACTGCTGACCTTGTGGTACAAACTGACCTTGCGGTCCAGTGCTTATCCTACAGGACCATGCCAGGGCTACATAGCTTACATAAATTTCTGACTTTAATGATGGTGGTATCTTGTCTGTTTTTGCTATTGTGTGCCAAAAAATGAAGACGTATGCATAAGCATGTGTGTGTTTGCACATGGGGCAAGCTTGCCGGCCAACCTTTCCAAAATGAAAACCAGATTTATGCCCTACATTCGGTAAACACAGTGGATGGGACCTGTCACACCAGTAGGAGGTGTGTAACTTGTAGTTCTGAACACATAAGGTCAAAACAAGACTTCATCAATCAGTTAATTCACTCTTTGTCACTCCCTTTCCCACCAGGTCCTGTCCCCTCTTTCATGCCTTTAGCACACTCTCTCTCTCTCACACACACACAAACACTCTCTGTCTCTCTAATGGAGCGCTCTCCTTTTCCCTCCAGTCCTCGCTGGTATTCTCACTTTACCTCTCGAAGAAGCCGGGAGAGGATGCACTCCGCTGCCGTTAGCTTCCGTGGCTCGCCCCTTGTGAGTGAGGAGATGGGGGCCGTCAGCGTTTTCAACAGGTAGCATGGCCATGATCCCCTAAGCACCAATCCATCCAGACTTGACCCACAGATAGGAGTAGTCACGTTCTCCATGGTAGCATTTTAAAGAAAAGAGAGGAGGAAAAAATAAATAAATAAATAAAACTTCAGGCCCAGGCAATGTGATTTGTGACCAACTTTGTTTCTATTTCCGAAGGCTTTGCCCTTTTCGGTGACACAGGCTGTTGCTATTCCAAGCAGCCTATCACAGGCAGTGGGAGGGCCCTATCTCGGAAGGGTTGTTTTTGCCTTCAGATGCAGAGTTGGAAGCAAGGGGTTAAAAGAATTGGGGACTAGCTCTTAGACACAGCTTTTGGCCATTAGCTAGGGACAGCTCTTGTTTGCCTGCACATTTGAAAAGAGGCAGAGGAAAGAAAGCAGGCAGATTTCAATGCAAGCTGAGAGTGAGGGCCCAAATACTCACAGATGGTATCAGTTAGTCTTGCAAAAAGAAGGAAAAGTCCGTCGATTTTTCAGCGAGACTGTTAATTCTAGAATCGTGACACAGCTAAAACAAAACGTAAAACACCTTTGTTTCAACCTGATTTGGGTCTACGTAAATGCGTTATAGATACTCTCTCTGAAGGCTTTCAGACAAGTCAAGGCCTGAGACCAAGAATATACAAACTCAGAATGCTCAGAGTCTTTAGACTTCTATGATCTTGGTAGTGGCATTTATTGATGCATAATTGTCTTCAAGAGAGGAACCAACCCTGAATCTTCTGTCAGATGGTATACTTGCTGGGTTAGAGAACATATAAAATGACCCACTGTGTGCTGGCCATGGCATCAGAAACAAAAGGAGGGCATGTCATGAAGGGAAGGATTTTGTTTTTTTTTCTGATTTGTGAATGTATTTCTATAAAAGATCTTACACAGTGATGACATTTCCCCCTAAGTTATATATTTGTTGTTGTTGTTGTTAAATGCTGTCCAGTCGGTTCTGACTCATAGCGACCCTGTATAGGGTTTCTGAGAAGACGGTGGGTTTCTACTGCCGACCTTATGGTTCACAATCCAGTACTGATCCTACAGTGCCACATCAGGAGTCCAGTCATCTAACTAGCATATAAAATTTATTGAAAATCCTATAGAGCAAATGTACTCTGCTTAGAAAATCATTAACAGTAAACACTAAAATGTATGGGGGATTTATTATATGCCAGGAACGGTGCTAAGGATATTAACTCACATGATTCACTGGAGGCTAAGTAACTTGCCTAAACAGGAGCCTGGTGGTTCAATGATTAAGCTGCTAACCCAAAGATTGGCAGTTGGAACCCATCAACTACCCCACAAGTGAAAGATGTCCGTCTGCTTCTGTACAGATTTACTGTCTTGGAATCCCTACAGGACACTTCTATTCTGTTCTGAAATGTCAGTATGAGTTGGAATCAGCTCAGCAGCAATGGGTTTTTTAGTTGGCACTATACGGTAAGCACTAAGGAGCTCTGGTAGCGTAGTGGTTATGAATCGGGCTGTGAACTGCAATGTCAGCAATTCGAAACTACCAGCTGTTATGCGG